TGCACATATACAACCTACAATAACAGTGGCAGGTTAAACACTAATTTATGAAAAAGTGGTTTCTAAATTTTGACAAATTGGTAAAATATGAATCAATATTCGAGTATTCGAGAACGAGTTTAAACTGTGCAGACAATAAGCGCGGGCTCTGGAAAAGCGTTGGCGGCCATAGTGCCAAACTCGAGGATTCAAAACGGTACTCCACAAACCAATGCGTGACGTCACGATAGGTTCACACTTTAAACTAAAGATATTGCCTGCTCTTGGATTTTAATATATTATCAACTTTGACTAACTCAAGTCAGAAAACAACATTTTAGAACATGAGTCAGGTAAAAATAGAGATGTTTATTTATTTTTAGACTCCCATATAGAAAAGTGAGGTTAAGTGACTCATTCAAATCCTTTTTCTCCACATGTAGCTCATGGGGGAGAGACAAAAACAGTGTTTCCCGTAAAGCTGCATAAGGAACATACAGCTGGGAAACATGAGAAATGTCAGTGTAAGATTTGTACCACATGGCAAATTTGCATGGAAATTATACCCCTTCTCTGCTCTTCGTCCGACTCTTTTTTCTCTCCCCACCACTTACTCCCCCTTCTTCACAACATTTAATGGCTTTGGATGTTTTCTGGTTCCGAGTGTGTTTGCTGAGTCATTGTGTAAAAAGCAAAGAGGTAGTGGCTAAGAAAGAGGTAGCAGCTAACAAAAAGCAAAAGCAGGTTGCGTCTGTCCGTGCAGTGTCTGTTCTGGATATAGATCACATTGATTTATGAGCCAGCACAGTCTCAGAGGCATTCTGGGATGCAACAGGGGGATTTAATTCAACACATCTGGATCTGAACTACACTCTATTGGCTGCTCATCTCAGGTTTAGCTTTGAGAGTCCTTCTGTTGATGTCCGCGGGCCTAAGGTTTTCTGACAGAAGAAAAAAATTGCAGCTTACTGCTTGTATTACTGGAAACCAAATACCAAGACATACTTAAAGGTGGGCTCAGCCATTCTAATCCAAGTGAGAGGGACAGTAAATCTGGCACATGCAAACATGCTGAACGCCACAATGTTATCCCAGAAAAGTGGTCGATAAAGTTTGTTAACATCAATGAGGCTTTCCAACTGTGGACAGACCTCCAAGAATTGAAAGTTATGAAGACATATGCAGAGGTCGTTTTATTCCTGCTTGACAGTTTGCAGATCAGTCCTCTCTGCATGTTAGCTTAGCAACAAATTCTCTCGTCTGTCACTGTTGCAATGTAAACAACTAACTCTAGCTGGC